GCACTGTTTTGCTGATTTTGCACCTCCTCAGTATTTTGTTGCAGCTGCATCACTACCAAGCCCGAGCCGTGTCGTTTAAATGCGTGTGCAGCTCCGTGATTCATGGTTCTCTCACGCTCCTCGACCTCCGTCCACTCCGACATCGTTTCTTTCTGCTGCAGAGTCAACCCCGGGCCCCGGCCTGCTCCCTAAACACCATCCATCCTGGTGTTTGTCTCACCTGGGCGGCTGTGTGGCCACGCTGTGACTATGCACAATGACCTCTCACGCTATCAAGAAGATAAACGGCCTCATAATGAACGCCGGGCTCCTGTGTGAGGGCACAGGGGCATTCGTTGGTCCAGGGACACGACTATTTCAGCTCCTGCGAGGTAATATTAGAGCGCACTTTCCATCAACCTACAACCCCTGTGTGATATAACACGAGGCTATTTTCAGCCGGCCGCTGTGAGGATAGCATAAGAAGGAGAGGAGGAAGAAGAATAGCTGATTCTTGCACCTCATAATTGATCTGCTGGGAAAAGCAGAACCACATGGTGCAGGAAGCCCAGGAGAGGTTCAGCTCAGAAGGTTTTAGACGTCCCAGAGTGATTCAGGGAGAATTCCAGCACTGACAGAAGAGCTAATCGACCCGTTTTATTCCCACAAACATACAGTTTGTTCTCATGGCTCTGCTGTAATTGTGCTACAGCGTCCTCCGTTGTTTAACTTATAGAGAGAAGACGTCTCCAGATGATTCCTCCTGACCGATTTCTTTCAGTTATTGGGCGCTCAGCCGACGCAGTGCTTAACGTTAAACTACATTCGACGTGATTAAGCAAACGTTTTCTTTCCTTTCATCTCGGTGTGGTAATTATGAAGAGCAGCATTCATAACAGAGGGACTCCTGCCACACGGTATCTTGTAGTGAGTTACTCCTCCCTCCTGGCAGTCTACTCTAATTACTCTCACGCTTCCATCAGGCATCCAGCTGAAATCAAAGCTCATCTGTCTGCGGGCTTATTGGGGGGGTGGGACTGGCGGTAAGTGGAGTGCCGGGGGATTACAGTTACAGCCTTTGGTGGATCGCGTCCACTGCTGCACATCCCATCAGCGGCTAAGCCTGAGAGCGAGTCCATTCCAGGGCGTGGAGGGTGACAGACGTCTGGGACCAACTCTGACACCGAGTGTGTGACCTGAAGGTGACTGACAGCATTAAGATGGTCTGCTTCTCATTCACCCATTCATACGCTAATGGCGACATGCAAGGTGCTGCCACTTCGGGTTCGGTGTCTTGCCCAATGGAGGGGATCGAACCTCCAACCTTGCCACTGGAGGACAAGCCTCTCCACCACCTGAGCCACTTATCGGCATTATCTGTAAATCCCTGTTTTGGTTAAAGCAAGACCCTGCTCAGCCTAATCTGCATCACAAGCACTGGAGACGGCACACGACTGGATCTAGAGTTTGTTTAATAATTTATTAAATACAGCATATTACACTCATGTCGATAATACACTAGTACTTATACTATAGAGACGGTTTTTGTTGTTTTTATTTAAAATCTTATTGCTGCACATGTTGAACCGAATGCTTGTTTTTCTTCTTTTCTTTTCTGTTTTTTTATTCATGTGTACAAAATGAAATGCAGCATCCTACGGAGAAAACAAACAAACAAACAAACAGACATGTCCTTTGTGCTACAGATTACAAAGTGGTGTCGGGGTTCAGGACATGATGAGACACATGCTACTCGATGGACACCTGGCAGAACAAACAAACACTAAAAACTCCACGGGTCGAGGAAGTCAGCGTCCCTCATGCAGTGCATCACTGAACAAAGTCTGGCAGCCAGTCACATCTGCTCGTTCCCACGATGCCAACTCGTACACGGTAGCCAGCGCCTTGATCATTGTTGGCCAAAGAGAACAGAAACGACTGAGCTGTGCATCATGTAAAGACAGTCACTATGTACAACCCTCGGTCCTGCTGTGTGCAGCGCCTCGCTCAGACTCACAGAAGAGCCAGCAGCGCTTTCACAAAGAAGCAGCTCGGCCTTTGGGACGTACTTTCATATCTCCAATGAAATGAAGTGCTTCGCTTTAAGGAATTAGAGGCATGGTAGTATCAACTAAAGTAGTGCAATTTTACATTCTTTGTCATTAATGAATTATTCTCCTTATTATACATTTGTAGAACTATTTGGTGTGCGTGAAGGTACAAAGGAGGGAAATAAAAAGTGCGTGCAGAAGATCTACAGAGAAGAACAGCTGGAAACACGCTCGTTTGCTTCCTCGCTGAGAGGCTGCAGCCAGCAGCTGTTCTGTTAGCTTAGCATAAAGACTGAAGGCTTGGTTGCTCCTCTAAAGCCGTCTAGCGAACAGGATGCAGTTTATTTCATCTTAAACTCAAGTCTTTCTCGCCAGCCATCGCCCCACGATGCTTTAACACCGAAGCTCAAACAAGCAGGATACTCCGTGTTTGTTTATTCCATATCAGCCCTGCAGAGGACAGTCAGAGGAGCTGAGAGGGGCATCAGAGTTCCCCTCACCTCCGTCCAAGAACTTCTCCAGAGCCGCTGCCGGAGCAGGACTCTGAACACTGTCATGGACTCCTCACATGAACTGTTTGAACTGCTGCCATCAGGCAAACGTTTCTGGAGCGTTAAAGGAAGAACCTCCAGACTGATCAACAGCTTCATGCCACCAGCTGTCAGAACGCTGAGCTGCTGATCCAGACATGCAAACACTGCTTTAAGTTACTGGATCCACTCTCTCATCCTGCCTGTACTGCTGTGGATGGACAGCAACATGACAACAAACTGGATTTGATTTGACTTTTTTATAAGTGCTTCTCCCTGTTTTCAGTCTTTATACCGTGCTAAGCTAATCAGAATGCTGACATAAGAACATAACACTCTGACAGGAAGCAAACGAGTGTATTTCCCAAAACGTGAAAGCAAATACGTCGACAGGTGATCACCACGTACGTTAAAACTAAACCGACAACAGAATTACGCGGGAAGAAGAGACGTATGAGTAAATAAAGAAAATCCCTGAGGGCTAAAATCCTACTGATAAAAGGACTAAAGGATGAACATGAACGAAAACGATTGTATTTTCATGTACAGTACTTCTGCTGACGTCAACAGAACATAATTGCACAGGGTAACCACAGAATCCGTTAGCTAGCTGATGCAACTCAACAACTCGGGCACAGACTGAGCTTCGGCTTCGCTCGCCGCCCGGAGCACGACTACAGACTGGTCGCAGTTGCACGGAATAAATAAATGAACGTTGAATGCAACGTTTCAATAAAATGTGCCCTTCAAATGAGAAAGAATGCTCTTTTTTTCTTTTTTTTTTTTGCTTGTGGCAGAAGGAAGAATGGGACGGAAGAATGTGGACGGCAAAGATAAAAGAAAGTCAATGAGAGGAAGGGAAAAGGTAAGAATGTGATCTGGTGGAGAGGAAAGGAATCAAGGAGGAAGTGATGACAGAGGGACAATAGTCAGAGGAAGGGACAATGGAGGGAAGTTGGTGGGAATGGAATCAGAGATGGAAGGAATAAAGGACGGAATGATGGAGGACAGAGACGGAACAGATGAAAGCAAAGAAAGGAATAAAAGGCAAGAAGTAAAACTAGAGGAACGCTTCAGGTTCTCTCATCAGGAGAGGTCTTGGAGTCGGCCGCCCTGCTCGATGACCGCCTTCGCGAACTGCTTGAACACTCGGTCCATGTAGGTGCTCTGCCGCGGCCACAGGCCCTCCAGGAATCCAATATGGCCGCCGTGGCAGGTGATGAGCAGCGCCAGGTTTGGGTTCTGCTTCACCGCCTCCACTGGAATGGCTGCAAACAGAAAGCCCAGTCAGCCCAGCACTCAAAGCCAGCTTTACTCATGCGTTCATCCCATTAGAACTCTCAGAAATTATGATGAGAACGTAGATATAAGAGGATAAAAATCCTCAACGCTGACTGGCTGCATGTCCTTCCCCTTGTCCCTACCTCTCCTGTCTTTCTTCTGGAATAAAGGCATAAAGAGGCCAAACAACAAGGAGACTCACCGTGAGATGGAGAGAAGACGTCGTCGGCAGCGTTCAGACACAGCATTGGCACCTGCACAGACTTGAGCCTGTGGACGGGACTGGCATCGTGGTAGTAGTCGTCGTTGGTGGGGTAACCGAACATGATGGACGTGAACCTCTCGTCGAACTCTCGGATGGTCTTCGCCTGCAGGGAGACGGTAATGTGAGTCCACTTTGTCCGCTTTGTTTAACTGAATCAGCTCAAACATCGCTGATGATCCCTACCTTCATGACATGATCGATGTCGTAACACTTTTCGAGCACTGGTCTGTGTCTGCGGGGAGATTCAAAACAAAAGCGCTGTTAGGTTGAATGATCTGCATCCGGAAACAAAGATGCAGACAAAGAACACACTGAAAGTTATTAAGCTTTATAATTGTGCTTCACCTACAAAACTAAAACTACAGCAGCAGCAAAGGGTTTTTAAAACCTAATTAATCAGCATATAAAACATGAATATGTGAACCTGA